GAAGAAGAAGAAGAAGAAGAAGAAGAAGAAGAAGAAGAAGAGAAGAAGAAGAAGAAGAAGAAGAAGAAGAAGAGAGAAGAGAAGAGAAGAAGAAGAAGAAGAAGAAGAAGAAGAAGAAGAAGAAGAAGAAGAAGAAGAAGAAGAAGAAGAAGAAGAAAAGAAGAAGAAGAAGAAGAAGAAGAAGAAGAAGAAGAAGAAGAAGAAGAAGAAGAAGAAGAAGAAGAAGAAGAAGAAGAAGAAGAAGAAGAAGAAGAAGAAGAAGAAGAAGAAGAAGAAGAAGAAGAAGAAGAAGAAAAGGCAGAAGAAGAAATCATTAGTTTATCACATCTAGAAATATATTAGTCTATCCCATCTAGAAATGTATTAGTCTATCAACTCTAGAAATATATTAGTTTATCACATTTGGAAATAAATTACTTTATCGCATCTAGATGCACATTTATAGAAATATACTAATTCATCATATCTAGAAATGCATTAGTTTATCATGCCTAAAAATGCAACAGTGTATACCGTCTAGAACATTTCTTGTTTTCAAATCTAGAAATAGTTCTTGTTTTCACATCTAGAAACATTTTTGTTTTGTTTTCATATCCAGAAATAATTCTTGTTTTCACATCTAGAAACATTTCTTGTTTTCACATTTAGAAACATTTTTTTTTTTTTTTTGGTTTTCATATCTAGAAATAATTCTTGTTTTCACATCTAAAACAGTTCTTGTTTTTACATCTAGAAAAACTTCTTGTTTTCACATCTAGAAACACTTCTTGTTTTCACATCTAGAAACACTTTTTGTTTTCACATCTAGAAACATTTCTTGTTTTCACATCTAGAAACATTTCTTGTTTTCACATCTAGAAACTGGTCTTGTTTTCACATCTAGAAACTGTTCTTGTTTTCACATCTAGAAACTTTTTTTGTTTTCACATCTAGAAATATTCTTGTTTTAACATATAAAAACACTTGTTGTTTTCACATCTAGAAACGCCATCTTGGGGCTACAGCTTACAGAGAAATATTCAGAAAAGTAAAGCCTCCAGAAATAAAGAAAAAAATACCAGGAGCAGACTGGGCACTCCAACAGAAGTCACAAAAGTATTTCTCCAAGCCGCCAATTCTCTACTGGGAGCAATGGAAGATCAATAACTTGAAGGTATCTAATCTGAAAAATAACCCGATAAACGGGCCCAACAGAAGCATTTCTTTCTTCCAGTCCGTCTATGGTATAGAGGTTATGCTCATCAAAGTGATTCACTAGGCAACAATTGATGTAGCTGAGGCCAGCATGGGCCTGACTCCCAAAACACTTTGTCAAAGGTAGATCAGAAAACTGTCATATATTTGGGCTGGTATCACTAAACACATGTGGAGTGGGTGGGAGGCAATAGAATAGTGCAGTTACATAGCTTTTTACTTTTCCCCACAAATAAATCATTCTTGAATCATCCAGTGAGCTGTTGGTTTATGAACAATTACTGAAAATCGAGAAGAAAACATACAAGAAAAGTTTATCACATAAGCTAGAAATAGATTTGAAGTACTTGAACATCTCAGTTCAATGCATGAGAGATTTGAAGTACTTGAACATCTGAGTTCAATGCATGAGAGATTTGAAGTACTTGAACATCCCAGTTCAATGCATGAGAGATTTGAAGTACTTTAACATCTCAGTATAATGCATGAGAGATTTGAAGTACTTGAACATCCCAGTTCAATGCATGAGATATTTGAAGTACTTGAACATCCCAGTTTAATGCATGAGAGATTTGAAGTATTTGAACATCCCAGTTTAATGTATGAGAGATATGAAGTACTTGAACATCCCAGTTTAATGCATGAGAGATTTGAAGTACTTGAACATCCCAGTTTAATGCATGAGAGATTTGAAGTACTTTAACATCTCAGTTCAATGCATGAGAGATTTGAAGTACTTGAACATCTCAGTTCAATGCACGAGAGATTTGAAGTACTTGAACATCCCAGTTCAATGCATGAGAGATTTGAAGTACTTGAACATCTCAGTTCAATGCATGAGAGATTTGAAGTACTTGTACACTTCAGTTCAATGCATGAGAGATTTGAAGTACTTTAACATCTCAGTTCAATGCATGAGAGATAGTCAGAATTAAATAATTGTACTGAGATGTCATAGGAAGAACATATTTTAGAGCAACGTAAAGAGATACAGTAAGATGGATCACACAGAAAATGTTACTTATAATATGGAGAATACAGTCAAAGAGAAGAATGAGCATAAAATAAATAGGGAAATCACAAAACAACAGTGCAGTTACAGAGAAATATTTCAGTGAGAAATACCACAACATTTAAAACATCAACAGTATTGATAATGCTACCCTGTATGAAGCAAACAGGAACAAAACAGTTAAGCAAATTTGCGTGCAAACTGGGAGTGTGAGTCAAGGGGTAAAAAACTGTTATAAAAAAAATAGAAATCTGCAGTAGAGTTAGGCCGTCTTGTTGGATTACTTAAACTTCTGATAACAAAGATGTTGAATTAAACATAAAACAATGTTTTTTCATGTGAAGCTAAATAATGCTGGCACACAAGAATACACCAAGCAATTTGGTCTTTTAATTGACAGAATTCATGTTTTATACCTTATTATATGTTAATGTAAACTTTGAGATATAGCAGCTGCTAAAATTCCGCAAAATATGCCAAGTAATAGATTTCACAATAAATTGTTTGTGTCCGTTTTATTTCAGATTAAACATAAATCAACACCTTAAGGCTTGCCCATATGGAAAGATGGCACAGAGCGTGCTATTAAGAAGATCAAAATCACCATCGACATTTTCTTGCCATCCCATAACCATTTGTGACTTACTTATTGCCATGAAAAAATATATGCAGTAAGAACAACATGAAACAAAAATTTTAGTAAAATTGTAGGTAATATATGTGTACTGACATCAGTTCTCAATATTCATATCAGTTACTGCAGTGTTGTTGATATTTCTACACCAGTTACTGTTCTCTGCAGTGTTGCTGATATTTCTACATCAGTTACTGTTCTCTGCAGTGTTACTAATATTTCTACATCAGTTACTGTTTTCTGCAGTGTTGCTGATATTTCTACATCAGTTACTGTTCTCTGCAGTGTTGCTGATATTTCTACATCAGTTACTGTTCTCTGCAGTGTTACTAATATTTCTACATCAGTTACTGTTTTCTGCAGTGTTGCTGATATTTCTACATCAGTTACTGTTCTCTACAGTGTTGCTGATATTTCTACACCAGTTACTGTTCTCTGCAGTGTTGCTGATATTTCTACACCAGTTACTGTTCTCTGCAGTGTTACTGATATTTCTACATCAGTTACTGTTCTCTGCAGTGTTGCTGATATTTCTACATCAGTTACTGTTCTCTGCAGTGTTACTAATATTTCTACATCAGTTACTGTTTTCTGCAGTGTTGCTGATATTTCTACACCAGTTACTGTTTTCTGCAGTGTTGCTGATATTTCTACACCAGTTACTGTTCTCTGCAGTGTTGCTGATATTTCTACACCAGTTACTGTTCTCTGCAGTGTTGCTGATATTTCTACATCAGTTACTGTTCTCTGCAGTGTTGCTGATATTTCTACATCAGTTACTGTTCTCTGCAGTGTTACTAATATTTCTACATCAGTTACTGTTCTCTGCAGTGTTGCTGATATTTCTACATCAGTTACTGTTCTCTACAGTGTTGCTGATATTTCTACATCAGTTACTGTTTTCTGCAGTGTTACTAATATTTCTACATCAGTTACTGTTTTCTGCAGTGTTACTAATATTTCTACATCAGTTACTGTTTTCTGCAGTGTTACTAATATTTCTACATCAGTTACTGTTTTCTGCAGTGTTGCTGATATTTCTACACCAGTTACTGTTCTCTGCAGTGTTGCTGATATTTCTACACCAGTTACTGTTCTCTGCAGTGTTGCTGATATTTCTACATCAGTTACTGTTCTCTGCAGTGTTGCTGATATTTCTACATCAGTTACTGTTCTCTGCAGTGTTGCTGATATTTCTACATCAGTTACTGTTCTCTACAGTGTTGCTGATATTTCTACATCAGTTACTGTTTTCTGCAGTGTTACTGATATTTCTACACCAGTTACTGTTCTCTGCAGTGTTGCTGATATTTCTACATCAGTTACTGTTCTCTGCAGTGTTGCTGATATTTCTACATCAGTTACTGTTCTCTGCAGTGTTGCTGATATTTCTACATCAGTTACTGTTCTCTGCAGTGTTACTAATATTTCTACATCAGTTACTGTTTTCTGCAGTGTTGCTGATATTTCTACATCAGTTACTGTTCTCTACAGTGTTGCTGATATTTCTACATCAGTTACTGTTCTCTGCAGTGTTGGTGATATTTCTACGCCAGTTACTGTTCTCTGCAGTTGCTGGTATTTCTACAACAGTTACTGTTTTCTGCAGTGTTGCTGATATTTCTACATCAGTTACTGTTCTCTGCAGTGTTGGTGATATTTCTACGCCAGTTACTGTTCTCTGCAGTTGCTGGTATTTCTACAACAGTTACTGTTCTCTACAGTGTTGCTGATATTTCTACAACAGATAATGTTCTCTACAGTGTTACTGATATTTCTACATCAGGTACTGTTCTCTGCAGTGTTGCTGATATATTTCTACATCAGTTACTGTGCTCTGCAGGGTTGCTGATATTTCAACATCAGTTACTGTTCTCTGCAGTGTTGCTGATATTTCTACATCAGTTACTGTTCTCTACATTGTTGCTGATATTTCTACACCAGTTACTGTTCTCTGCAGTGTTGCTGATATTTCTATAACAGTTACTGTGCTATGCAGTGTTACTGATATATTTCTACATCAGTTACTGTGTTCTGCAGTGTTACTGATATATTTCTACATCAGTTACTGTGCTCTGCAGTGTTGCTGATATATTTCTACACCAGTTACTGTGCTCTGCAGTGTTGATGATATTTCTACAACAGTTACTGTTCTCTGCAGTGTTGGTGATATTTCTACATCGTTTACTGTTCTCTACAGTGTTGCTGATATTTCTACACCAGTTACTGTTCTCTGCAGTGTTGGTGATATTTCTACATCAGTAACTGTTCTCTGCAGTGTTACTAATATTTCTACACCAGTTACTATTTTCAACAGTGTTACTGATATTTCTACATCAGTTACTGTTCTCTGCAGTGTTACTGATATTTCTACACCAGTTACTGTTTTCTGCAGTGTTACTGATATTTCTACATCAGTTTCTGTTCTCTGCAGTGTTACTGATATTTCTACACCAGTTACTGTTCTCTGCAGTGTTGCTGATATTTCTATACCAGTTACTGTTCTCTGCAGTGTTGCTGATATTTCTACATCAGTTACTGTTTTCAACAGTGTTACTGATATTTTTACACCAGTTACTGTTCTCTGCAGTGTTGCTGATATTTCTACAACAGTTACTGTTCTCTGCAGTGTTGCTGATATTTCTACACCAGTTACTGTTCTCTGCAGTGTTGCTGATATTTCTACATCAGTTAATGTTTTCTGCAGTGTTGCTGATATTTCTACACCAGTTACTGTTCTCTGCAGTGTTACTGATATTTCTACAACAGTTACTGTTCTCTGCAGTGTTACTGATATTTCTACATCAGTTAATGTTCTCTGCAGTGTTGCTGATATTTCTACAACAGTTACTGTTCTCTGCAGTGTTGCTGATATATTTCTACACCAGTTACTGTTCTCTGCAGTGTTGCTGATATATTTCTACATCAGTTACTGTTCTCTGCAGTGTTACTGATATTTCTACAGCAGTTACTGTGCTCTGCAGTGTTCCTGATATTTCTACAACAGTTACTGTGCTCTGCAGTGTTACTGATATTTCTACACCAGTTACTGTTATCTGCAGTGATACTGATATTTCTACATCAGTTACTGTGCTCTGCAGTGTTGCTGATATTTCTACACCAGTTACTGTTATCTGCAGTGTTACTGATATTTCTACATCAGTTACTGTTATCTGCAGTGTTGGTGATATTTCTAGCCGTGGATTTTGTTGCTGTTGAAACCAAAATTATTTTGCTTGCAGAAAAATTACTTAGGGCCTGGTTCCTATGAGATGAAGGACTTTATTCAGTTGGGAAATGCCAAGCCACGAAGTGAAAGAGGTATTTGTGACAATCTTGGACCTCGTTTTGATAAAGCAACACAGGTTTGTGGGTTGTTGTAACAGTTTGATGTTTCTAGATTGAATAGTATAACTGGAACATCTCACGAATTCGGCCCCAGAAAGAGAGTGACTTTCCTTTCCATTCATCCCTGGTTGTGTTGTAAGTCCTGTCCTATGTTGTGGGGGTGACCCGCTTAGTCAGCATGCAGCAACACAACGTATCTTGCGTGTTGTTGTCATAGGCTGCATGCAGCCAAGGGACGTAGGCTGCACTCTCTCTTTTGATGTAGGCTAAGGCTGTGGCATGGGGAGAGGGGGGGGGGGTTGGGTTAGGACCAGTTCTACATTTTTGGGACTGTTAAAAGTGATCACATCATGGAATATGGACTATACAATATCGCCAGCCTGTGACAACACTGCATACAATCTGTTGCGTTGATAGCCTCAATAAGCGTGACACCCCCACAGCATTAGACAGGCCCTACGACATGATTAGGGATGAATGACTAGGGAAGTCACTCCCTTTCTGGACCTGAGTTCTTGAGTTATACCATATAATTTTAGAAATTATTTTCATAACCTATTATTAAATTTCCCTCGTTCTCCCTATCTCTCTTGTCTCCAGTGAAACATTCCCAGTCACTCACTGATTGTCACTCTGTCTGTCTGTCTGTCTGTCTGTCCGTCCGTCTGTCTGTCTGTCTGTCTATATAGTGTGAGAGTGTGAGTGTCTGCATTTGGATATGTATGCAGATGTGTTTGTATAAGTATGAGTGTGTTTGTGTAGGTATGAGTGTATGTATGTGTGTATGTATGTGTATGAATGAGAGAGTCTGGGGATTAATAAAGATGGGAGTGTGTGTATGAATGTGTCCATATGTATGAATGTAGGTATGTTGTGTGTGTACGTATAATATATGCATGTGTGTGGTCTTTGTGTGCATGTATGTATATGCGTATATACATGTGTGTTATGCATATATATGTGTGTTGTATGTGTGCATATTTTAATTATGAATGTATCGTCCATGCTTGTGTGTATTTGACTGGATACTCATACAAATGTAAGGGCTCAATGTGAGGTGGAACTGCATGACCTTTAAAATTAAAGTTCATTCATTGTGTCTGTTTGTCCGTCTGTCCACCAATCCATTCATCCGTCCATTCATCCATCCATCCATCAATCCATTCAGCTGTCTGTCTATCTTTACTCTATCAGTCTCTTTGTGTGTGTGTGTGTGTGTGTGTGTGTGTGTGTGTGTACACGTGCATGTACGTGTGTATTTATGGGATGGTAGTTGTGTGTTTGGGGGAATGCACGGGAATTTTTCACTGTGCATGTTAGACAGGGAAAAGGGGAAAGGAAGGAAAAGATGGAGAGAATTGGGAAGACAGAATGGGTTGAGAAATGGAGAGGGAAATGAAGAGAGAGTGACAAAGATTTGCCATCAGTTCATCAGCTGGATGATGCCATGGTAGCACTAGTCTGCATGTACCAGACGTGTGTTCTGCTGCACCCCTTTTGTAGTCTGTTTGTTTTGACAATAACTGAGAGTATATTCATCTGTGTTGACTGAAATTTAAGAAAACAATGTTAGTGGTTTTCATACAGCTGTACAAAACGAATCAAATCATTGTCTCATCAGATGAACAAAGTAATGACATGTTTTACTGTGGCAAGTTCTCGGCCTGTTCCAATGTTTGTTGCTGATATCTTCTGCCAGAGTGTGACACCTGGTCCAGGGACTTACGGCATTGGTGGGGTTCCCCACAGAGCTCTGGAGGACCGGGCTAACAGGTCGTTCAGTACTAGAGGTATGCTAGATGCTGGAGACAGAAAGAGAAATCTACCATACCAGGTCAGTCTGGAATGTGAATGTCCATCATATAGAGAGGATAGGCTGGTGTTTGATTCCCTTTTACTATCTCACGTCAAAACAAAACAAAGAAGTCATCTTCAAATCTGTAAGTCATTACTGCTTGGCCAAGTGACAGAGAAAACAGTGTCACATAACTGACAGAGAAAACAGTGTCACATAGCTGACAGTCGGAGAAAGTGGTGTCACATAACTGACAGTCAGAGAAAACAGGTTCACATAAGTTATATTCAGAGAAAACAGTGTCACTTAACTTATATTTAGAGAAAACAGTGTCACATAGCTGACAGTCGGAGAAAGTGGTGTCACATAACTGACAGTCAGAGAAAACAGGTTCACATAAGTTATATTCAGAGAAAACAGTGTCACATAACTTATATTTATAGAAAACAGTGTCACATAACTTATATTTATAGAAAACAGTGTCACATAACTTATAATTAGAAACAACAGTGTCACATAACTTATATTTAGAAACAACAGTGTCACATAACTTATAATTAGAAACAACAGTGTCACATAACTTATAATTAGAAACAACAGTGTCACATAACTTATAATTAGAAACAACAGTGTCAGACAAACAGATAACTTATATTTATAGAAAACAGTGTCACTTAACTGACATTTAAAGAAAACAGTGCCACATAACAGACATTTTAAAAAAACAGTGTCACAAAACTGACAGTCATAGATATTTGTGTCACATAACTGAAAGTCGGAGAAAGTGGTGTCACATAACTGACAGTCGGAGAAAGTGGTGTCACATAACTGACAGAGAAAACAGTGTCACATAACTGACAGAGAAAACAGTGTCACATAACTGATAGAGAAAACAGTATCACATAACTGACAGTCAGAGAAAGTGGTTTTCACATAACTGACATTCAGAGAAAACAGTGTCACATAACTGATGTTTAGAGAAAACAGTATCACATAAATGACATTCAGAGAAAGAGGTGTCACATGACTGGTTTGCCATATTTTGTCAAATTTGTTTGTTTGGTGTCTCATCTGCCTCTTCCTCTTGTTCATGTGATGATTGTTGTCCTTATTTATGTGCATTATGTGCATTAAAATCTGTTTGATTGGAATTATTTCAGGGCTGTGACTTGGCTCCAGGGACTTACGAACAAAAATCATTTGTCGATGAACTCTTGAACAAAGTCACCGGCCTGAGAGGTCCGTACGATCTGTTTACGGCGAGGAGAAAGGATCCCGTTAAAACTGGGTTCTATCCCACACCTGTAAGTACTTGTACATTTCTGACTGAACATGCTGCATGTGAAGTTTCCCACACCTGTAAGTACTTGTACATTTCTGACTGAACATACTGCATGTGAAGTATCCCACACCTGTAAGTACTTGTACATTTCTGACTGAACATGCTGCATGTGAAGTTTCCCACACCTGTAAGTACTTGTACATTTCTGACTGAACATACTGCATGTGAAGTATCCCACACCTGTAAGTACTTGTACATTTCTGACTGAACATACTGCATGTGAAGTTTCCCACACCTGTAAGTACTTGTACGTTTCTGACTGAACATACTGCGTGTGAAGTATCCCACACCTGTAAGTGCTTGTACATTTCTGACTGAACATGCTGCATGTGAAGTTATTTTCTGTAGCCAAGTATGAGGGTAGTGGGTACACAGTTAAATTCAGTTAATTTTTTTTTTCATCTGAACATTTGCATTTAGCGTTGATGAAACATTTCAGTCTTGAAAAGTCTTTTTTTTTCCCCACTAAGTTTTGAGGAGAAGTGAAATTCTGAGGCATTTATTCTATTATGATAGGGGAAAGGATATAAGGAGAGAAGAAGACCAAATGAGAACAGAGGAGAAAAGCTCAAGACATTTTAGTGGTGATGATACTTATAAAGAATAAGACAGGAGGAGAAGAAAAGAAAGAAGAAGAAAATGAGGCAAGTGGACAACTCTTGAAACACTCTAGTCGGAACATTTAACAATAGGATCTTCTGGCAGGGAGTGTCAACAGTACTCATAATCCTGTTAGTAAAAGTACAAACTAAGTCAGGTCAAGTGGAGGAAATTTATTTCCACCTCTTCTTTTACCTATAAATGGTGGTTCACAGAATGTTTTGTGGTTTACAGCAAGGCTTGGATATCTACACCTTTCAGTTCAAAACATCTGATTTCAGCAAACCCCAAACAGTCACCTTTTATGACATTCTTGTTTGGTGGAAAAGGGGGGGGGGGAGAGAACACATGATGCTTTGGTCCTAGGCTCATCTAGGGAATCATCACATTCTGAAAATGATGTCACTCAGACATCTCTAGACCAATCAGCAATCAATTGGTAATGTGGTAACCATCACCGCAGCCACCATGTTTTCCCAGGATATTGTCCGGCGATACCTATTGTCAGCTGTCTGGACCTAGAAGTCAAGGTCAATTATTTAGCGAATCTGTTGGTTGTAAATTCAAAGCTTCAAGCTAGCATAGCAAGTACCTAGTCAGTGTGCCACCACGGCTCAGCAGCATAGCAGACAGCTAGCCAGTGTGCCACCACGGCTCAGCAGCATAGGAAGCACCTGGCCAGTATGTCACTGGGACTCAACAACATAGGAAGCACCTGGCCAGTATGTCACTAGGACTCAACAACATAGAAAGCACCTGGCCAGTGTGTCACTGGGACTCAACAACATAGGAAGCACCTGGCCAGTGTGTCACTGGGACTCAACAACATAGGAAGCACCTGGCCAGTATGTCACTGGGCCTCAACAACATAGGAAGCATCTAGCCAGTATGTCACTGGGACTCAACAACATAGGAAGCACCTGGCCAGTATGTCACCACGGTTCAACAACATAGGAAGCATCTAGCCAGTATGTCACTAGGGCTCAACAACATAGTAAGCACCTGGCCAGTTTGTCACCACGGCTAAACAACATAGGAAGCACCTGGCGAGTGTGTCACTGGGACTCAACAACAAAGGGAGCACCTGGCCAGTATGTCACTAGGGCTCAACAACATAGGAAACACCTGGCCAGTATGTCACTGGGACTCAACAACATAGAAAGCACCTGGCCAGTATGTCACTAGGGCTCAACAACATAGGAAGCATCTAGCCAGTATGTCACTAGGGCTCAACAACATAGGAAGCACCTGGCCAGTGTGTCACCACGGCTCAACAACATAGCAAGCATCTGGCCAGTATGTCACTAGGACTCAACAACATAGAAAGCACCTGGCCAGTATGTCACTGGGACTCAACAACATAGGAAGCACCTGGCCAGTATGTCACTAGGGCGCAACAACATAGGAAGCACCTGGCCAGTATGTCACTAGGACTCAACAACATAGGAAGCACCTGGCCAGTGTGCCACCACGGCTCAACAACATAGGAAGCACCTGGCCAGTGTGCCACCACGGCTCAACAACATAGGAAGCACCTGGCCAGTGTGTCACCACGGCTTAACAACATAGCAAGCACCTGGCAAGTGTGCCACCACAGTTCAACAACATAGCAAGCACCTGGCCACTGTGCCACCACGGCTCAACAACATAGCAAGCATCTGGCCAGTGTGCCACTGGAGCTCAGCAGCACAAACTAAAACTTGACCAGCTGGAAACCACCTCAAGCAACCAACCAGTCAATGCCCTGAAAACTTACTTGTTCTTATTCTGTGGCCATATGGAATGAACGAACAAACAAACTTGATTTTAAAGGGTAACCAATAGGGCACACAAGCCCGTCTTACATTCGGCCCTTCCAAGCACCCGACTTTCACACTAAAGTATTCTATTAATAAGCAGGCTATATTCATATGATAAAATATAAATATCAAGGGAGAAAACACAAAAGCATAGGTGGTAAAATGCATGCACACACACACACACACACACACACACACACTTACTTAAACACGCATATATACACACCCACAGACACACAAACCTGCAAATACACACACACACGCAGACACACACAAGCGGACAAACCCACATACATGCACAAACACACACAGACGCAGACACACACAAAGATACACGCACACAGACACACTTGCAGACACACAAACACACACACATTTGCAGACACACACGCTGATGCTCACGCAGACACAGACACACACACACACACACACCCACCCACAGACACACACACACACACACACACACCCACAGACACACACACGCAGATGCAGACATACATACATACAGGCACACACACAGATACACGCAGACACACACCCACAGACATACATACACACAGGCACACACACAGACACACATGCAGACACTTAGACACATACACAGACACACATGCAGACATCCCCAGAGACAATACACATGGAGACGCACACAAACAAATACACACAGGCACATACACACAGACCTACACACCTGACACACACAGACCTACACACCTGACACACACAGACCTACACACCTGACACACACAGACCTACACACCTGACACACACAGACCTACACACCTGACACACACAGACCTACACACCTGACACACACAGACCTACACACCTGACACACACAGACCTACACACCTGACACACACAGACCTACACACCTGACACACACAGACCTACACACCTGACACACACAGACCTACACACCTGACACACACAGAGACATACACTGATATATACTCACAATGATCCACATATACACTAACACTCACACAGGCACATACAAATACACACACACACATAAACATAACAAAGACACACACACAAACACGCACGCAGGCACACACACACACACAAACATAGACACAGACACGCCCACACATAGACATTTTCACACACATAAACACACAGGCACACACACACAAAAAAACACAACATAACAAAGACACACACACAAACATGCACGCAGGCACACACAAACAAACACATAGACACAGACACACATAAACACACAGGCACATACAAACACACACGCAGGCACACAATCACGCAGACACACATAAACACACAGGCACATACAAACACTCACGCAGACACATATTCATGGCATTGTGGTTCTGGGGTGTATGTGGATTACCTACCTCCCCGGGCAGCAGCTACAAATGCCCTGTACCAGTTCTAAAGGAAATATGGGTTGTGTTTCTGCCATCCCCTTTAACACGTAGCTAAGGTGGGGCTCACAGTGTGCTCATTCCCCGCAACCAGATTGCCTGCAGGTTTCGCTGAGCTCTTCATGGCTCTAAGCATGGCCTAAGCATGAGTAGTTAGGGCAACTGGATTGTCACGTCCTGAGTCCCTGTGCCTTCACGATAGTTTCTTGTATTCAGGGGGGTTAGCATACTTGTTTCCATTCCTAAGATTGTTCAGCACACCTCTGGCTCCTTCCCTCCCACAGGGGGCAGTACGGTGTGGTGCACCGGGTTTATTATCGAGGTTTGCTCCTCTAGATCCATTGTGTTTTGCCTGGGGATTCGCACCCCCAGTTACCAAGACAACCTCGGGGAGGCTGTGACTCTTCGCCACGCACAATGGTCTTGAGGTAAGAGAGGTTTTGCTAGGTCAAGAGGCTGACACCACAATGGACGCTCCTTTCGTGAACAGATATTCACTAGACCTAGGGTGAAGTAAGGGGGGAACCCACTACCCACAACACCAACACTTCTTACCCCCTGCCTCTCGAGGCTCAGTCCCACATAAACACAAAGGCACATACAAAAACACACACACGTAGGCACACACACAGACACACATTCAGACACTAGAAACATACACACATGCAGACACCCCCAGAGACAATACACATGGAGACACACACACAAACAAATATACACAAGCATATCCACGCAGACCTACACACCTGACACACACAGGCACACAAGCACGCAGACACACTTGAACACACAGGCACATACAAACACACACCCAGGCACACAAGCACGCAGACACACTTGAACACACAGGCACATACAAACACACACCCAGGCACACAAGCACGCAGACACACATAAACACTCAGGCACATACAAACACACACACACACACACAAACATGACAAAGACACACACAAAAACACACACGCAGGCACACACACACACAGACATGTAGACACAACGTGACATTTTTACACACAATACCACCGACACACACACAGTCATTTGACACGTAAACCTACAGGCACACATACACACGCAACAACTTATACAATTACCTATGCACACACTCATACAGGACCAAGACTCCCAGCCTGTTACTGCAGCTGATATAGATGCCATTTGATGTTACCTAGTGACTACAACCTACCCCCATGCGTGGACAAGTGTCCTTGACCTCACTCAGGTCAAGGACACTTTGAGGTGAATTGGTCATATATTGTATATTGACCAATCAGCTCTCAGTTCATGATGTCTTCAATTTCTTACCAACCAGCGTCCCTTGCTAGAAAACTTCCTTATATATGTTGGACCCAGAGTCCACCTGGGAGCCCGTGTCAGGATTATTGCAACATTCCTGAGTAATGCTGGGTTTTATTTTAAATGTGACTGGTGCTGAAGCACAGCAGTGCTGACCAGGCTAACCCCATCAACAAACACCTGCAGAAGTCAGATGTCTCGGCCAAATGGTGCGAATATCACAGATATGTAAAGGGTACAATGATATTACATCTTCGGATAAACTCAGAAGAAGAAGAAGGGCTTTCCTCCGAATAACGGTCCTAAATTATCGAGGCCGAAATATACCCTAACAGGGCTTCAGTCACGTGTCAATTGCGCACTTCCTAGGACTATAACCGCTGAATTGCGAGCTTCCGAGGACTATACTGCCACCGCCGACAGGTATCCCCCACGCCGCTCACTCCGCGTGGATTGGGGCTAAACTAGATGGTTAGGACTCACGAGCAAATAAAATGAAGGAAGCTGCAGGAGACGAGGTAGCTGCTGCTCGTGAGTCCCAGCCATCTAGCTAAGCCCAAATCCACGCGGAATTCGCCGGAAGTGCGCAATTTAAGACGACGGAACTGTTAGGGTATTTTTCCGCCTCGATAATTTTGGACCGTTATTTGGAGGATAGCCAAAGAAGAAGAAGAAGAAGAAGATGCACCTCATAACACTGATCGTCTGTTGGTTACCAGAAACGTTCCAAGATTGGGCCAGGCTATTACAAATATAAGAGTTTTGTGGACGAACTGACCAGCTCCAAGTATAACCTCAGAGGTCGCTTCAGCAGACAGGCCCAGTACCCAGAGGTTCCCACAGAAAGGTTCCTACTCTTCTCCAAGGCCACACCGTCCCTGGACAAGGTAAGCTCAACAAAAATCTTCTTCACAGATCGGCTTTCTCATTACCAGCTGGCAAGTGTGATCATGGTTCCTCAGAACACTGGTTCTTTGCCACTGTTGACATGATTTTCTTCCTTTCTTCTGACAGCCAATAAACTTGCTGCCATTTTGTGTTCTCTTTCCTTGACTTTTCTCTCTAATCTCGTTTGTAAAAGAGTTGTGTGTTTTTTAATGTGGCCAAAATATTTCTCATTTTTATTTATTTTAGTAACCATTTTTTTTTTTCCATTTGCAGTCTCCAGAGCCTTTGTATTTTATTGTGCTCGTTACATTAAAAGACTTTTTGTTCTAGATATCCGCATATACAGAGACTCAGTTTAATTTTCTAGTTGCTTGTTCATTGTCCAGGTTTTTGCAGATAGACAGTACAGGGATTACAGTGATACAGTACAGCGACAACTAGACAGTTGAATGTTGACTGAGACAGTACAGTGATAGCTAGATAAATAGTAGACAGTACAGGGATTACAGTGACAGCTAGATAAATAGTAGACAGTACAGAGATTACAGTGACAGCTAGATAAATAGTAGACAGTACAGAGATTACAGTGACAGCTAGATAAATAGTAGACAGTACAGAGATTACAGTGACAGCAAGATAAATAGTAGACAGTACAGAGATTACAGTGATAGCTAGATAAATAGTAGACAGTACAGAGATTACAGTGATAGCTAGATAAATAGTAGACAGTTCAGCGAAAACTAGACAGTTGAATGTTGACTGAGACAGTGCAATAACAGTTAGACAGTTGAATGTTGAATGAGACAGTACAATGACAGCTAGACAGTAAAATGTTGACTGAGACCGTACAATGACAGCTTGACACTAAGTTCACTGACTTCACTGACAGCACTAACTTCACTGACATCACTGACTTCACTGACATCACTGACATCACATCACTCACTTCACTAACATCACTAACTTCACTGACTTCACTGATATCACTAACTTCACTGACATCACTGGCTTCACTGACATCACTAAGTTCACTGACTTCACTAACATCAATAACTTCACTGACATCACTAACTTCACTGACCTCACCCACTTCACTGACATCACTAACTTCACTGACATCACTAACTTCACTGACATCACTAACTTCACTAACTTCACTGACATCACTAACCTCACTGACATCACTGACTTCACTGACATCACAAACTTCACTGACATCACTGCCATCACTGCCATCACTAACCTAACTAACTTCACTGACTTCACTAACTTTACTGACTTCACTGACACCACTAACTTCACTGACTTCATTGACTTCACTAACTTCACTGACTTCACTGACTTCACTAACTTCACTGGCATCACTAACTTAACTGACATCATTAACTTCACTGACATCACTAACTTCACTGACTTCACTGACATCACTAACCTCACTGACATCACTGACATCACTGACATCACTGACTTCACTGACATCACAAACTTCACTGACATCACTGCCATCACTAACCTAACTAACTTCACTGACTTCACTAACTTCACTGACTTCACTAACTTCACTAACATCACTAACTTCACTGACATCACTGACATCACTGACTTCACTGACATCACTGACTTCACTGACATCACATAACTCACTTCACTGACATCACTCACTTCACTGACATCACTCACTTCACTGACATCACTCACTTCACTGACATCACTCACTTCACTGACATCACTCACTTCACTGACATCACTCACTTCACTGACATCACTCACTTCACTGACATCACTTACTTCACTGGCTTCAATGACATCACTGAGTTGACTGACTTCACTGACATCACTCACTTCACTGGCATCACCCACTTCACTGGCATCACTAACTTCACTGACATCACTAACTTCACTGGCATCACTAACTTCACTGACATCACTAACTTCACTGACATCACTAACTTCACTGGCATCACTAACTTCACTGACATCACTGACATCACTGCCATCACTAACCTAACTAACTTCACTAACTTCACTGACATCACTAACTTCACTGACTTCACTAACTTCACTGACATCACTAACTTCACTGACTTCACCAACTTTACTGACTTCACTGACTTCATTAACTTCACTAACTTTACTGACTTCACTAACTTCACTGACTTCATTAACTTCACTGACTTCACTGACTTCACTAACTTCACTGGCATCACTAACTTCACTGACATCACTAACTTCACTGACATCACTAACTTCACTGTCTTAAAGAGTTTTCTGTGCACTGTGAGAATCTGAGGCTCATTCACATGTCAATTAGTTTAATTCGTACTTGACTCTTGTGAAGATGGTGATTGTCCAAATGCATACCAACCCCTGGTACAATAGTTAACCACACAAGATCCTGTTGATGGGAGACAACTCTCACACCCTGACACTTACACACTGGCGGTCGATGGGAGACAACTCTCACACCCTGACACTTACACACTGGCGGTCAATGGGAGGCCACTCTCACACCCTGACACTTACACACTGGCGGTCAATGGGAGGCCACTCTCACACCCTGACACTTACACACTGGCGGTCAATGGGAGGCCACTCTCACACCCTGACACTTACACACTGGCGGACGATGGGAGGCCACTCTCACACCCTGACACTTACACACTGGCGGTCGATGGGAGGCCACTCTCACACCCTGACACTTACACACTGGCGGTCAATGGGAGGCCACTCTCACACCCTGACATTTACACACTAGCGGACGATGGGAGGCAACTCTCACACCCTGACACTTACACACTGGCGGACGATGGGAGGCCACTCTCACACCCTGACACTTACACACTGGCGGTCAATGGAAGGCAACTCTCACACCCTGACACTTACACACTGGCGGTCAATGGGAGGCCACTCTCACACCCTGACACTTACACACTGGCGGACGATGGGAGGCCACTCTCACACCCTGACACTTACACACTGGCGGACGATGGGAGGCCACTCTCACACCCTGACACTTACACACTGGCGGACGATGGGAGGCCACTCTCACACCCTGACACTTACACACTGGTGGTCAATGGGAGGCAACTCTCACACCCTGACACTTACACACTAGGGGGCGATGGGAGGCAACTCTCACACCCTGCACTTACACACTAGCTGCCGATGGGAGGCAACTCTCACACCCTGACACTTACACACTGGCGGGCGATGGGAGGCAACTCTCACACTCTGACACTTACACACTGGCGGTCAATGGGAGGCAACTCTCACACCCTGACACTTACACACTGGCGGTCAATGGGAGGCAACTCTCACACCCTGACACTTACACACTGGTGGTCAATGGGAGGCAACTCTCACACCCTGACACTTACACACTGGTGGTCAATGGGAGGCAACTCTCACACCCTGACACTTACACACTAGCTGCCGATGGGAGGCAACTCTCACACCCTGACACTTACACACTGGCAGACAATGGGAGGCAACTCTCACACCTGGACACTTACACACTGGCGGTCAATGGGAGGCAACTCTCACACCCTGACACTTACACACTGGCGGTCAATGGGAGGCAACTCTCACACCCTGACACTTACACACTGGCGGTCAATGGGAGGCAACTCTCACACCCTGACACTTACACACTGGCGGTCAATGGGAGGCAACTCTCACACCTGGACACTTACACACTGGTGGTCAATGGGAGACAACTCTCACACCTGGACACTTACACACTGGCAGACAATGGGAGGCAACTCTCACACCCTGACACTTACACACTGGTGGTCAATGGGAGGCAACTCTCACACCCTGACACTTACACACTAGGGGGCGATGGGAGGCAACTCTCACACCCTGACACTTACACACTAGGGGGCGATGGGAGGCAACTCTCACAACCTGACACTTACACACTGGCGGGCGATGGGAGGCAACTCTCACACCCTGACACTTACACACTGGCGGTCAATGGAAGGCAACTCTCACACCCTGACACTTACACACTGGTGGTCAATGGGAGGCAACTCTCACACCCTGACACTTACACACTGGCGGTCAATGGAAGGCAACTCTCACACCCTGACACTTACACACTGGTGGTCAATGGGAGGCAACTCTCACACCCTGACACTTACACACTGGTGGTCAATGGGAGACAACTCTCACACCTGGACACTTACACACTGGCAGACAATGGGAGGCAACTCTCACACCCTGACACTTACACACTGGTGGTCAATGGGAGGCAACTCTCACACCCTGACACTTACACACTAGGGGGCGATGGGAGGCAACTCTCACACCCTGACACTTACACACTAGGGGGCGATGGGAGGCAACTCTCACAACCTGACACTTACACACTGGCGGGCGATGGGAGGCAACTCTCCACACCCTGACACTTACACACTGGCGGTCAATGGAAGGCAACTCTCACACCTGGACACTTACACACTGGCAGACAATGGGAGGCAACTCTCACACCCTGACACTTACACACTGGTGGTCAATGGGAGGCAACTCTCACACCCTGACACTTACACACTAGGGGGCGATGGGAGGCAACTCTCACACCCTGACACTTACACACTAGGGGGCGATGGGAGGCAACTCTCACAACCTGACACTTACACACTGGCGGGCGATGGGAGGCAACTCTCACACCCTGACACTTACACACTGGCGGTCAATGGAAGGCAACTCTCACACCTGGACACTTACACACTGGCAGACAATGGGAGGCAACTCTCACACCCTGACACTTACACACTGGTGGTCAATGGGAGGCAACTCTCACACCCTGACACTTACACACTAGGGGGCGATGGGAGGCAACTCTCACACCCTGACACTTACACACTAGGGGGCGATGGGAGGCAACTCTCACAACCTGACACTTACACACTGGCGGGCGATGGGAGGCAACTCTCACAACCTGACACTTACACACTGGTGGTCAATGGGAGGCAACTCTCACACCCTGACACTTACACACTGGTGGTCAATGGGAGGCAACTCTCACACCCTGACACTTACACACTGGCTGATAAACTTTTCTTCCCCCAGGAGACCCCTGGCCCTGGAGCTTATGATGTGAAGGAGCTGCCCAAATACACGCCTGTCAACCCGCCAGCCTTCTTGTCATCTTCAAGCCGAAATGACAAAATGTCTGAAAAAATTTTCAGCATGACTTGTGTAAGTATTTCTGTTACTTATGATCCTTCGCTTCATGGGCAGATGTTCATATCAAAGCCAGGTGTTCATATCAAAGCCAGGTGTTCATATCAAAGCCAGGTGTTCATATCAAAGCCAGGTGTTCATATCAAAGCCAGGTGTTCATATCAAAGCCAGGTGTTCATATCAAAGCCAGGTGTTCATATCAAAGCCAGGTGTTCATATCAAAGCCAGGTGTTCATATCAAAGCCAGGTGTTCATATCAAAGCCAGGTGTTCATATCAAAGCCAGGTGTTCATTTGGAATACTTTTCGACTGCATCAAACGTGGTTTGCATTATGAACTGTAGAGTTACCTTATTTGTGTTTATAACCACTGATCTACTGGAACTGCTGCTTCCATCGATGGTAAACTGCATTTTAGTGTCGGACTATTTGTGTTAGCACTCCTGATGGCCGCTTTAAGCATTTAATGCATCTTTATGCTTTGGATGTGCTGAGACTGCAGTCTGTGTCAATGTTTCCGCCAGGACAATGTTGGCACAGGAAAGGAGCCAGACTGGGACTGACTTGATTGTTATGAAGTTGGATCTATAGTTTCCGGATGACTTTGTGGAGGTCATGGCTGTGACAACGGCCTTAGAATGGCCAAATACTCAGGATTTCACTGATGCCTGTTTGCTCAGCGACTCAATGAGCAGGATATAGAAGATCAAGGTGTGGTACCTAAGAAAACAGTGGCTATATCTGATATATGATATAGCACGCAGCGTTTTGCAAAATCACTTTCATTGTTGTCCCAGGGAATGCTGGTGTGAAAGGCAATGAGAGAGCAGATACTCTGGCTGGCAGTGCGACTCTCAGGAATGGGCCCTCTTTGGACAGCAGAGACAACATCAATGCCATACGAGAGACTATACGCTGTGAGGATTTCAGTTTTATAGAAGATGATTTTCAGCTGAATACGCTGCATACCCGGGTGTACCAACTGGAGCTGCCAAACAGGAATACCATCCGTCATTACATTAACCAGAACAGAATAAGAGTTGTTAGCCTAAAACACTTGCACACATACTCAGGAGGAGATTGGAGCACTTATGGTCATGTCTGATACTCAGCAGGAGACTGGAGCACTTAAGGTCATGTCTGATACTCAGCAGGAGATTGGAGCACTCATTGTCATGTCTGATACTCAGCAGGAGATTGGAGCACTCATTGTCATGTCTGATACTCAGCAGGAGACTGGAGCACTTAAGGTCATGTCTGATACTCAGCAGGAGATTGGAGCACTTATGGTCATGTCTGATACTCAGGGGGAGATTGGAGCACTTATGGTCATGTCTGATACTCAGGAGGAGATTGGAGCACTTATGGTCATGTCTGATACTCAGGAGGAGACTGGAGCACTTATGGTCATGTCTGAGACTGGAGCACTTATGGTCATGTCTGATACTCAGGAGGAGATTGGAGCACTTATGGTCATGTCTGATACTCAGGAGGAGACTGGAGCACTTATGGTCATGTCTGATACTCAGGGGGAGATTGGAGCACTTATGGTCATGTCTGATACTCAGGAGGAGATTGGAGCAGTTATGGTCATGTCCTATACTCAGCAGGAGATTGGAGCACTTAAGGTCATGTCTGATACTCAGTAGGAGATTGGAGCACTTATGGTCATGTCTGATACTCAGGAGTAGATTGGAGCACTTATGGTCATGTCTGATACTCAGAAGGAGATTGGAGCACTTATGGTCATGTTGATACTGATTGGAGCTTATGGTTCATGTCCGATACTCAGCAGGATTGGAGCACTTATGGTCATGTCTGATACTCAGCAGGAGATTGGAGCACTTATGGTCATGTCTGATACTCAGTAGGAGCACTTATGGTCAGCACTTATGGTCATGTCTGATATACTCAGGAAGAGATTGGAGCAATTATGGTCCATGTCTGATACTCAGGAGGGAGATTGGAGCAGGATTATGGTCATGTCTGATCCTGATACTCAGCAGGAGATTGGAGCACTTATGGTCATGTCTGATACTCAGTAGGAGATTGGAGCACTTATGGTCATGTCTGATACTCAGCAGGAGATTGGAGCACTTATGGTCATGTCTGATACTCAGCAGGAGACTGGAGCACTTATGGTCATGTCTGATACTCAGCAGGAGATTGGAGCACTTATGGTCATGTCTGATACTCAGCAGGAGATTGGAGCACTTATGGTCATGTCTGATACTCAGCAGGAGATTGGAGCACTTATGGTCATGTCTGATACTCAGCAGGAGATTGGAGCACTTATGGTCATGTCTGATACTCAGGAGGAGATTGGAGCACTTATGGTCATGTCTGATACTCAGCAGGAGATTGGAGCACTTATGGTCATGTCTGATACTCAGCAGGAGACTGGAGCACTTATGGTCATGTCTGATACTCAGCAGGAGACTGGAGCACTTATGGTCATGTCTGATACTCAGCAGGAGATTGGAGCACTTATGGTCATGTCTGATACTCAGGAGGAGATTGGAGCACTTATGGTCATGTCTGATACTCAGCAGGAGATTGGAGCACTTATGGTCATGTCTGATACTCAGGAGGAGATTGGAGCACTTATGGTCATGTCTGATACTCAGCAGGAGATTGGAGCACTTGTGGTCCTGTCTGATACTCAGCAGGAGATTGGAGCACTTATGGTGATGTCTGACACTCAGCAGGAAATTGGAGCACTTATGGTCATGTCTGATACTCAGCAGGAGATTGGAGCACTTATGGTCATGTCCGATACTCAGTAGGCGATTGGAGCACTTATGGTCATGTCTGATACTCAGCAGGAGATTGGAGCACTTATGGTCATGTCTGATACTCAGCAGGAGATTGGAGCACTTATGGTCATGTCTGATACTCAGCAGGAGATTGGAGCACTTATGGTCATGTCCGATACTCAGTAGGAGATTGGAGCACTTATGGTCATGTCTGATACTCAGCAGGAGATTGGAGCACTTATGGTCATGTCTGATACTCAGCAGGAGACTGGAGCACTTATGGTCATGTCTGATACTCAGCAGGAGATTGGAGCACTTGTGGTCATGTCTGATACTCAGCAAGAGACTGGAGCACTTGTGGTCATGTCTGATACTCAGCAGGAGATTGGAGCACTTGTGGTCATGTCAGCTTGGAGCACTTGTGGTCATGTCTGATACTCAGCAGGAGATTGGAGCACTTATGGTCATGTCTGATACTCAGCAGGAGATTGGAGCACTTATGGTCATGTCTGATACTCAGCAGGAGATTGGAGCACTTATGGTCATGTCTGATACTCAGCAGGAGATTGGAGCACTTATGGTCATGTCTGATACTCAGCAAGAGATTGGAGCACTTATGGTCATGTCTGATACTCAGCCGGAGATTGGAGCACTTATGGTCATGTCTGACACTCAGCAGGAGATTGGAGCCCTTATGGTCATGTCTGATACTCAGGAGGAGATTGGAGCACTTATGGTCATGTCTGATACTCAGCAGGAGATTGGAGCACTTATGGTCATGTCTGATACTCAGCAGGAGATTGGAGCACTTATGGTCATGTCTGATACTCAGCAGGAGATTGGAGCACTTATGATGTCTGATACTTAGCATTGGAGACTGGTCATGTCTGATACTCAGCAGGAGATGGAGCACTTATGGTCACTTCAGCAGGTCATGTCTGATACTCAGCAGGAGACTGGAGCACTTATGGTCATGTCTGATACTCAGCAGGAGACTGGAGCACTTATGGTCATGTCTGATACTCAGCAGGAGATTGGAGCACTTGTGGTCATGTCTGATACTCAGCAGGAGACTGGAGCACTTATGGTCATGTCTGACACTCAGCGAGAGGAGATTGGAGCACTTATGGTCATGTCTGATACTCAGCAGGAGATTGGAGCACTTGTGGTCATGTCAGATACTCAGCAAGAGACTGGAGCACTTGTGGTCATGTCTGATACTCAGCAGGAGACTGGAGCACTTGTGGTCATGTCTGATACTCAGCAGGAGATTGGAGCACTTGTGGTCATGTCTGATACTCAGCAGGAGATTGGAGCACTTGTGGTCATGTCTGATACTCAGCAAGAGACTGGAGCACTTGTGGTCATGTCTGATACTCAGTAGGAGATTAGAGCACTTGTGGTCATGTCTGATACTCAGCAGGAGATTGGAGCACTTATGGTCATGTCTGATACTCAGCAGGAGATTGGAGCACTTATGGTCATGTCTGATACTCAGCAGCAGGAGAGGAGCATTGGTCAGTCTGATACTCAGCAGGAGATTGGAGCACTTATGGTCATGTCTGATACTCAGAAGGAGATTGGAGCACTTATGGTCATGTCTGATACTCAGAAGGAGATTGGAGCACTTATGGTCATGTCCGATACTCAGCAGGAGACTGGAGCACTTGTGGTCATGTCTGATACTCAGCAAGAGACTGGAGCACTTGTGGTCATGTCTGATACTCAGCAAGAGACTGGAGCACTTGTGGTCATTTCTGATACTCAGCAGGATATTGTAGCACTTATGGTCATGTGTGATACTCAGCAGGAGATTGGAGCACTTATGGTCATGTCTGATACTCAGGAGGAGATTGGAGCACTTATGGTCATGTCTGACACTCAGCAGGAGATTGGAGCATTTATGGTCATGTCTGATACTCAGGAGGAGATTGGAGCACTTATGGTCATGTCTGACACTCAGCAGGTGATTGGAGCACTTATTGTCATTTCTGATACTCAGCGGGAGATTGGAGCATTTATGGTCATGTCCGATACTCAGTAGGCGATTGGAGCACTTATGGTCAAGTCTGATACTCAGGAGGAGATTGGAGCAATTGTGGTCATGTCTGATACTCAGCAGGAGACTGGAGCACTTATGGTCATGTCTGATACTCAGCAGGAGACTGGAGCACTTATGGTCATGTCTGATACTCAGCAGGAGACTGGAGCACTTATGGTCATGTCTGATACTCAGCAGGAGACTGGAGCACTTATGGTCATGTCTGACACTCAGCAGGAGATTGGCGCACTTATGGTCATGTCTGATACTCAGGAGGAGATTGGAGCACTTATGGTCATGTCTGACACTCAGCAGAAGATTGGAGCACTCATTGTCATGTCTGATACTCAGCAGGAGATTGGAGCACTTATGGTCATGTCTGATACTCAGCAGGAGATTGGAGCACTTATGGTCATGTCTGATACTCAGAAGGAGATTGGAGCACTTATGGTCATGTCCGATACTCAGAAGGAGATTGGAGCACTTATGGTCATGTCCGATACTCAGCAGGAGACTGGAGCACTTGTGGTAATGTCTGATACTCAGCAAGAGACTGGAGCACTTGTGGTCATTTCTGATACTCAGTAGGAGATTAAAGCACTTGTGGTCATGTCTGATACTCAGCAGGATATTGTAGCACTTATGGTCATGTGTGATACTCAGCAGGAGATTGGAGCACTTATGGTCATGTCTGATACTCAGGAGGAGATTGGAGCACTTATGGTCATGTCTGACACTCAGCAGGAGATTGGAGCACTCATTGTCATGTCTGATACTCAGCAGGAGACTGGAGCACTTGTGGTCATGTCTGATACTCAGCAGGAGACTGGAGCAGTTATGGTCATGTCCGATACTCAGTAGGAGATTGGAGCAGTTATGGTCATGTCCGACGTGGGATGAAGAATGATCTCTAAAATGAACAATAAACAATGATGCTTGTGAGCAGACAAAGGAGAATATTTCTGATAGCAGCAGAAGTGTGGTTTCTATTGTTCCTTGTTGAACCAGATCACGTTCTATACAACCGTATCTCTAGAGCTTCCACACAATTTATTACTGATTTGTTCTATTCTTAGTTCACATGCAGAATGCCAGGACAAGCTATATATAACTCATGAGAAAACTTTTCCTGATCTCAGCTAAAAATTCTATAGCATAGAATATTTTTCATACTGTTATATGCTACTATCCACTTCTTGACTACATCTTCCATCTGCAATTATCTAGTGACCCACTTACTTGACTACATCTTCCATCCGCCATTATCTAGTGACCCACTTACTTGAATACACTGACTAACTAAGGTGTCGTATGTCACATTTAATTTCATATTGTAAATTTGTTTCCACAGAGTCTTCTTCATTCTTCTTTTGTCATCTCAATGTTACCAGGTTGTAACCCAGTATCGTGGTTTTCTCTATTTGTCTTGCATGTCTCCGGTGGCTTGGGTGATGGATTTTATTTGTGTGTGTGTGCAGGTTTCATCTACACCATATATCCATATCTTTCTTGGTTTTTCTCTTGCCTTTCTCCCAGATGTTTTACTCCAACTGTAAAAAGTCTCATATGCAGTCTGGTCTGGCAGCATTCTTACTAGATGGCCGAACCATTTCATTCTTTGTCTGTCAACATAATCCAGACATGATCTTATTCCAACTCTCTCTCTAATACTGGTATTCGTAACCCTGTTGTTAGTGACCTTGTGGAGACAGTACAGTTCACATGTAATTATGTTCTATTCTAGTGCCCTATTCATTGTCCATGTTTAGCACTGATAGCACAAAGTAGGGATAAATATGCAATTAATCATTTGCTGTTTTGCTGGAAGGGAGATATTAGGGAGTCTAAGCAGTGGGGTTAACTGGTAGATGACAGCTTTTGACAGGTATTTGAATTCTCGTACTTGTTTGATTGTTGTACCGTTCATGATATTATGTTTTCTGCCTATCCTCATTACCTCAGTTTCACAGAGCTTTTTCTCATGTCATACTTGGTACAGGCTTGATATAAGGAGTCAATATGGTGTTGTCAATTCTGTCATTGGTGGTGTATTAGACACTGATGGTCTGCGGAAAAACAAAAGTTCATTGATTTCTTCAGTGGCGGTACTTGCTTGCTGTGTTATTCTGTTCATGGAAGAAATGAATAGCTGCAACAACTGTCTGCAAGCGGGACATAAATGATACAAGTATTGAGGTGGACTAATGGAAACAGAATGCCATGAACCATGTTGTGTGGAGAGAAAGGGAATGAGAGTAGGAAGAAATGATTGCAGAAAGGATGAGAGCTAAGCATCTGAGAAGAAACAGATTAAACACAAATGTTGACAACAATGGTCCTGAAGTCCCATGCTATCATTGTGAAAGACTTTTCTTGACCCGGGCGGGTCTTGCTAGTCACACTCACCATCAACATAGGCAGTGAGTCCCATGCATCTCCATAACACTATCGTCTGGAAAGAGGGAAAGGTGCCAGTCAATCTGTGAGAGAAGACAGCCCTGTCTGACACCTGATGAGATGGCAAACCAGTCTGTCATTCTTTGTGTTGTACTTTCTGTGCACTGACCCACTATCTTCATCAAGAGCCATGATGTTGCCCAACAGTTGATCTTGAATACTATAATCTTCTAGAATTGTACAGTTTGCATCAATCGAATGCCTTCTCTTGATCTATAAATATAAGATGTTGACTTCTGTCATATTCAGTAGACTGCTGACATGTCTGCCTTAAAGAAAAGATTGTATCTGTACAGCTCTTTCCCTTCGTGAAACATACCTGTCTCTGACTTAACTAGGGCCCCAGTATTTACTGGTCGAGCTGTAAGTTCTAATACTTGTGCAAATATCTTTCCAAATGGTTAAGAATTCTAGGCTTTGCTTCTTCTTCTTCTTCTCCATGTTCACTGGCAGTAAACTTGATAGAAAGTTCTGGTTGTTCATTCACCAGGACTTGAGTTTCGGCATTTAACTTATCTGCTGATTGGTATGTTGGTTTACTTCGAAGTAAACACAGATACAAGTTGGGGGAAAAACTGAAATAGTAACCTGCACAGTCTGTGGCAACTGCAGTAGTCGCGTGACTTTAAATCCTGAGGCTCAAATTCTCCCAAGCCCCCCTCCCCTAGCCCCACCCCCCCCCCCCCCCCATTTTAACACCAACTCTAAAAAGAGGTAAATACAGTCAGTGTAGCAGCTGATGTGACTGACCTGACGCCACCTGTGGACTAATTCTGTCTGACCAATGGCAACTGTTGTAGCATCCTGTGGGTCCAGGCCGTTACTTTACAGAGAAGTTTGAAGATCAATATGTCAATGGCCACACCAACGTCTTTAAGTCCAAGACTGGACAGCCAAGCTTAAAAATGGCCAGATTTAATGAGTAATTGTTTTTTCTTTCTGTTTCCTTTTCTTGTGTTCTTTTACAAATCATATCTTACTGTTTTATTGTTCTGTTTTTGTGCCCTTGTTTTCAATTATTTAAAAGTTGGGTATTATTGTCAAACTTAATTAGGACATGATAAATTGTTTAATTTAAATGTAAATTTTTATGAAGACGTGGAACCGAGTTGTGGAAAGGGAGTGAGGGGTTAGAATAACAAGCATGTCATAAAAGGCAAATCATTAGGGGTCTTTCTTAAATAGCTAGGGGTGGATCTGCCTGAGATTCAAGGAACCAACAGTCTGCATAAGAATAAGCCAGATTTGTACAGCAGTTATGCATGCAAAACGCAAGTCCTGGGATGAGACCGAAGCCCATAAAAGTAGATGAACAACCAGAACTTTCCGCAGGAAGGACAGCTAGTGAATGTGATGAAGAAGAAGAAGATGGTTTTACAAGGATGCATAGCTTTTGTTTCTGGTGCTGAAAATTTGTATCATTTGTTTCATTGCTATTGAAAAGACTCACTGGGATTATAGTTTTTTAAAGATACATGTGGCTGAGCTTCCCTTTTTCTGGAGAAAATAACAAAGAATCATACAGTCAAACATGGATCGGATGTGATTGTGAAGAGTGGATTGGATGTGATTGTGAAGAGTGGATCGGATGTGATTGTGAAGAGTGGATCGGATGTGATTGTGAAGAGTGGATCGGATGTGATTGTGAAGAGTGGATCGGATGTGATTGTGAAGAGTGGATAGGATGTGATTGTGAAGAGTGGATAGGATGTGACTGTAAAGAGAACAGCTTCATTGTATTATTTTGTTCATTTATAGGTTTCACTTTTGAATATATTTCCTAGTCAGTGTAAAAATGTCATTTTCTACATTTGGTCATGACAGTGTAGTAAAGCAGGATGGCTATGAAATAATTTGTTTGTTTGTTGACCAACCACATTGGTGACCTACCACATTGTTGACCAACCACATTGTTGACCGACCACATTGTTGACCTACCACATTGTTGACCAACCACATTGTTGACCAACCACATTACTTATTAAATACCATTTGGTCATGACAGTACAGCAGTGTAGGATGACTATAAAATAATGTTCTTGATCTGATACGCTCAATGCCTAGGTAAGCCCTTGAAGTGAGTATTTAGTGCACAGTCTTAACAACACAGCGCTTTGTTGTATTTGACACCCCCCCCCCCCCCCTATATTAATTTTTATTGCTTCTTTTTATTTTCCAGAGAAAGGTTAAAAAGCAAACAGAGAAATGTTGAAGTCAGCTCTTGTTATCCTGGGAAAACAAACCGCACAATAACCGGCATGTGAAGCCAAGAGTCACCAGTATAAACATGTCACACATTGTACGTACTGGCTGTGCCAGTTTGTTTCCACATGAAAGGCCACCTTATAATGTTGCACTTCAGGCTCAAGTGGTCAATAAACAGGCTGCAAGTGATTCACATTAAGTACTTTTTTTTGCAGATTTTTTTTTTCATGGTTCACTTAAATATGTTGGCCTAATAAAAAGCTTTAATGTGGAGATTACGTCATACAAAATTTAAATAGTTTTCGCAAGAAAAAAAATTAGGCTTTATATTTCACAAAAAGGTTATATGAACTGTAGAAGAGCTAACAGTGACTGTTGTTCTGTGCCTTCTAAAAATAAAATGTCATATGTTGATATGGTTGAATCTTCACTATTTTGTATATTTATGATAATAAGTTTCCATATTTATTATGTTTATGATTATATTTTTAAAATTATGTTTACAATTATATTTTTTTCATATTTAATATATTTATGGTTATATTTTTCCACATTTATTATGTTTACAATAGAAAATTCCCATGTTTACTATTTTAACATCGTTGATTGTTGTCCATTTGCCAGCACTTATTTTATTGTTCCCACGTTAGAATGTTCAAGCATTTTCAAATTTAAATATTCAAATATTCATACATTGAGAGATTCAACTGTTTACATATTGGTGTCATTAAATAGTCATACATTATAATAGTCACTGTTTCTGAATCACACGTACATTGGTTACACCTCGTATGTAGATTGCTTAGACCTCGTATGACAACCTGACTAGCCACATCACATTGTTAGAGCTCTTGTAGGTTCAGAGTCGAGGAGATTTCAAGGAGTAGATTTCCATATTATCCTTTATAGTTATCTCTTCTCTTTCCCCCATTACAAGATACCCCTTCTGCTTTGCTTCTAGTACATTTAGATGCTCAGATATTATGTTATTTGCAGGGTGTGATTTTTATATTTATTTTTTAAGATGCAGTCGTTCACATGCTAAAAATTCAAGCATTTATATGTCAAGAATGGCAGGTACGTAGCTGATGATATTTTCAAGTATTTACTGTGTGAATTCAGTTGTTTATATGTTAAGATATTCAAGTATTCATGTGTTAGGATATTCTATTCATATGTTAGGATATTCAAGTATTCATATGTTAGGATATTCTAGTATTCATATGTTAGGATATTCTATTCATATGTTAGGATATTCAAGTATTCATATGTTAGGATATTTAAGTATTCATATGTTAGGATATTCAAGTATTCATTTGTTAAGATATTCAATTATTCATATGTTGAGATTTTTAAGTATTTGTATTTTTGAATTCAATTGTTGACATGTTCAGATTCGCCCAGAGATATTCATCAAATATTCAATTATTTATATTTGAAGATATTTAAGTATCCACATTTTAAGATTTTCTAGTACTTACATGCTGGGATTTTCAATTTTTGCCATTTTAAAATGCACAGATATTTAGATAATGAGTTATTAACATACATCCTGATATGTCCAAGTAATAATATACTGAGATATTAAACTTACATCTTGATGTGTTCGAATATTAATATACTGAGAAATTAAGCTATATCTTGATATGTTCAAGTATTAATATACTGAGAAATTAAACTTCATCTTGATATGTTCAAGTATTAATATACTGAGAAATTAAGCTATATCTTGATATGTTCAAGTATTAATATAGGGAGATATTAAGCTACATCTTGATATGTTCAAGTATTAATATACTGAGATATTAAACTTCATCTTGATATGTTTAAGTTTTAATATACTGAGAAATTAGGCTATATCTTGATATGTTCAAGTATTTATATGTTAAGATTTAAGCTACATCTTAATGTTTTAAAGTATTAATATTCCCAGATATAAAATTACACCTTGATATGTTTAAGTTTTAATGTACTGAAATATTCAATTATTCCCATTATATTACTTTCCCTAGTCATATTTTTAAATATTCTGAAGAACTCAAGTATTCACATATTTAGGAATTCAACATTCACAGGTTATGTTGTTTCCGTGATTTAATAATCAAGTTTTACATGTTGACATATTACTTACTTTACTTACTTTTTCCTTCCACGTATGCCGCTAAGCGTTGTGGGGAGATGCAAGTTCCTGTCATAAGCAAGGCGGGCAGCATCTGATGTTCTGAGGCCATGCTTTTGGCAGGTTTCGGAGACCCCGTCAATCCACCGTTTCCTTGGTCTTCCTCTTGCCTTATATCCTGAGCTTCTTTGGTTGAAAATTTTTCATGTTATTTGATCATTTTTCATCCTGGTTAGATGTCCAAACCATTTCATTCTTTGATGTTCTATGTAGTCTAAACATGGTGTAGTTTTGACAGTGTTTCTAATGTCTATATTCTTTATCCTGTCTAGTCTGGTCTTATTCGCTGCTTTTCTTAGACATTTCATTTCACAGGCTTCTATTTTTCTTTCATGGGTCTTGTTGATTGTCCATGTCTGGCACTGGTAGCAGAGTGTTGGAATGAAGATGGTGTTTATCAATTGTCTTTTGGTCTTCATGGTTATATCTGGATGTTTAAGCAGAGGTGATAGTTGGTATGTGACAGCATTTGCTTTCTGTATTCTTGTTTCTATCTCTCTGTCCATTCTTCCATCCTCTGTAAATATACTGCCCAAGTATTTGAACTCTTTGGTTTGCTTGATTTTGGCACTTCCAACATTTATATTCAGTGGCCTGTGTGTTCTGCTGATCTTCATAACTTCTGTTTTTTTCTGTACTGATTCTCATATTATGTTGTAAACAGCTGTTGTTGAGAGTAGTCAGATGTTCCTGTAGATCATATTCATTTTGATACAGTATGCTTTGATCATCAGCAAAAAGTAATTCGTTTATAGCATACACGTCTGGGTTTGCTTCTACAGTGATCTTATCCATGTATGTTATGAAAAGTAATGGTGACAGTACACATCCTTGCCTGACACCAGTTGTGACTTTGAACCATTCAGAAAGACCACTAGATGTTCTTACTGCACTTTCACTTTTTTCATAGAGGGCTCTGATGTTGTCTAATAATTGACCCTGCACTCCGTAATCGTCAAGAATTCTCCACAGCACATCTCTGTCTACACGGTCGAATGCCTTCTCTTGATCTACAAAGACCACGTTCAGCTCTTTATCGTATTCGAGTGTCTTTTCGCAGACTTGTCTTAGTGCAAATATGGCATCAGTGCAACCTCGCCCTTTCCTGAAACCGAATTGTGCTTTACTCAGTAGAGGTTCAACCTTTGCTCTTATCCTACCTTCTAAGATCTTTGCATACATTTTCCCCACATGACTTGACATATTTCCATGAGATAATCGAGTTTTAAGTGTTGAGATGTTCCTGTGATGAGATAATCGAGTTTCAAGTGTTGAGATGTTCCTGTGATGAGATAATCGAGTTTCAAGTGTTGAGATGTTCCTGTGATGAGATAATCGAGTTGATTTGTTTCTTGCATTTCTATCCAGTAGACTGTTCTTTGATGAATGCCACAAAATAAAATACATTTTTTAAAACAGCCAGCCATGTGCCTGGATGTTTATATTATTGTTCTTGTTTGATGTCCCCTCGTTTGTTTTCATTTCTAGTGATAATTTAAAGAAAAAAAATGCAGCTGGTTGGCCAGTTGGTTACAATGTCAGAGACTCAGGGGTGAGACCCAAGTTTTACACTTAGCAAAGTGACAGCCATTGTTTAGTCATAGGGACCAAGGAAAGGGGGGGGGGGGGGGGAATGTTATAGTAAAAACAACTCTCATTATGCCTAAGATACTATCTTGATAGCAAGTCAAATATATATATATATAAAGATAAAGATAGAGGAAGACAACAATAGGAGATTCTTGATAGCCCTCTGTCATGACCTTAAACCATAAATGGATGTCAGCCTTCTGTCAGGACCTTAAATGGATATCAGCCCTATGTCATGACCTTAAACAGATGTCAGCCCTATGTCATGACCTTAAACAAATGTCAGCTCTATGTCATGACCTTAAACAGATGTCAGCCCTATGTCATGACCTTAAACAGAAGTGAGCCTTCTGTCATGACCCTAAACCTTAAATTGATTTCAGCCCTATGTCATGACCTTAAACAGATGTCAGCCCTATGTCATGACCTTAAACAGATGTCAGCCTTCTGTCATGACCTGAAATGGATGTCAGCCTTCTGTCATGACCTAAAACAGATGTCAGCCTTCTGTCATGACCTTAAACAGATGTCGGCCTTCTGTCATGACCTTAAATGGATGTCAGCCTTCTGTCATGCCCTTTAACAGATGTCAGCCTTCTGTCATGACCTTAAACAGATGTCGGCCTTCTGTCATGACCTTAAATGGATGTCAGCCTTCTGTCATGACCTTAAACAGATGTCAGCCTTCTGTCATGACCTTAAATGGATGTCAGCCTTCTATCATGCCCTTTAACAGATGTCAGCCTTCTGTCATGACCTTAAACACATGTCGGCCTTCTGTCATGACCTTAAATGGATGTCAGCCTTCTATCATGCCCTTTAACAGATGTCAGCCTTCTGTCATGACCTTAAATGGATGTCAGCCTTCTATCATGCCCTTTAACAGATGTCAGCCTTCTGTCATGACCTTAAACAGATGTCGGCCTTCTGTCATGACCTTAAATGGATGTCAGCCTTCTATCATGCCCTTTAACAGATGTCAGCCTTCTGTCATGACCTTAAATGGATGTCAGCCTTCTGTCATGACCTAAAACTGATGTCAGCCTTCTGTCATGACCTTAAACAGATGTCAGATTCTGTCAAGACCTTAAACAGATGTCAGATTCTGTCATGACCTTAAACAGATGTCAGCCTTCTGTCATGACCTTAAACAGATGTGAGCATATAAACTGATCCTTTCTGTTGGACAATCATAATAGCCTACCCAGTTGGCATGCAATATGATGATGACATAGGCACGGTTGGTGACTATGTTATTGTGGAACCCATTCAACAGCAAGAAAGGCATGG